GTTCAATACAAATAAAACAGTGCCGAACATCGGAACATCACCATTCGAAACCGTACGATCCAAACAAAGCTTTAAGCCAATTCACTAGAAGCAATTTCCGTAACCCTTACTATACTTCTGTTTTGCAATTATGTGAGTTGAGTCGGGTCAATGGCCTTCTTATAACAACAATTTGATATTTGAATACGGCGGTGCTACAAAAGCTGGGCCTCGAGCGTTGACTTTTGTCTTTTCATTATTCGAATTTATGACTCAGTCTATATCGTTTCGTCATTCATTCGACAATTTCGCGTTTTTAATTTTGCACATGAATAATGGCTATTTAAACCAATAATATCCATGAATGTGGTAACGTTTCTAAGGTGACAATTTTAGTTGTAGATGTTATGAAGAAGAAGTCAACCACCTTCTTAGTTAGACCGCAATCCAAATAAACTAAAGACAAATATTTTTCTCAATCTTTTCGACCTTGATAGATTACATCAGTTAGAAATCGATTCTCTAATGTTGATGACATATCAAGGATTCAAGGTACAGTCTCGCAGTATATGATCCATTATCCATCCCAAGGAGAACATTTGTCGATTTTTGGAATTTTTTGTTACGGTGGATATTTGTATATTTTCTTCTTGCAGTATATTAGCATAGTTGCATTGGGTTTACTCGTTATAACATCCAAGGATTGAGTCTTTTAGAGAGGAATGGACTCTACAAACCTTTTGTTTTATTTGGTCTTTGTTATTTTAATGGGATAATAAAAAAACGAACAACGGGTTATTTCGTGGTTAAGACCACTTTAAACAGTAAAACCGGAACTTGGAAGCTAATTGCATAGGCTGGTTTACCCAAATATCGAAATTTGTTATCTTATTCTCCCTCTGTATCATATTAATTGGTTTTTTAGGCAAATTTGTTTGTATCAAATTAGTTGATGTTTCTATTTTTCTATGCATAAATTTATTATTTTTTAGTGTTTGTGATTTTTTGAATTCTACAGTATTTTATATGATTGGTTAAATTAATGTTATTTAAATAATAAATAGTTGTTTAATATAAAAATACACAAAATTTTTG